CGCAGTAATTATGGTGTGATTGAAGCCGCTCCGTGGAGAACTGCTGACACCTCTGTCTTTTTCCTGCAAACACGGGGAGATGAAAATAGACACTTGGAACCGCTGTGCGTGTCACTCCGAAGATGTCTGTTGTCTCTTCCACGCGACGCCGAGTCTCAGCTGTCATTTCCTCCTCCTTTTGCTCAGTGGTGTGTATGCTGACTGTCAAAAGCCCCAAATCCATAGTCTTTTAGCATCAGGTTTCTGTCACCGGTTTTTTTCGTCATTTTTTCTCTCCAGAAGAAATACACAGAAATCATCTACCCTTACCCCTGTGGAGAGGAGCGATCTTAAGATCCTCTCTCTCTCTCTCTCTCTCTCTCTCTCTCTCTCTCTCTCTCCCTCTCCCTCTCCCTCTCCCTCTCCCTCTTACACACACACACACACACACACACACACACACACACACCAGCAGCAGCAACCAGAAAACAAGCTTTTAATCAGTCGCAATTAACTTTACCACCTTCATAGAAAAGGAGCAGGAATATTAATTGTGCTGGTGTGTCCGTGGCTGCCTGGGAGGGTCGACATCCAGGAGGCTGGTTCTGAGGGCTCAGGAGACGGTAGCTCTGCCCACCAGGCACTCGGGGACAGCACGCACCGGCCTTGTGCCCTCTCTGCACTATTGGGAGGTGATGCTGGGGAGTTGCCTAGAGACAAAGCCATCAGTACGCATGCCCCACGAGGTGGGGTGAGAGTAGGAAGAGAGGGTCTGGGCACTTACCTTCAGGCAAGTGGGTGGGACTTGAGGGGCCCAGCCCCAGCCCTGCAAATACAGCTTCCGCCATGCCCCACATGGGCCCCGCCAAGGCCAGGAAGATGGGGGAACGGGCGACGGGGGGGCGGGGGGGGACAGGTTCCCCAGGAATAAAAGTGAGCCCGGCTATATCGGCATGCCCAGGATGGTGGGGGCGACTGCCAGTGTGTGGGCTGTTTTTTCAAAATGTGGTGATACTAATCATTAGAAGTCTGTTCCCAAACCAATGAATCCTGAGTTCCGAGTCTGCCCGGCTGAGACCGTAGGCCTAGACATGATCTTGCTTTAGGCGACTCTTGAGAAACGGCTTTATTCTTGGGGATAAAGTTCCTGGGGCTTGAACGCTGACCGCTTTAGCATTGTGGCTGCTGTGGCCATTTTGGAGGCGGACGTTCCCAAACGCCCAGCACACGTTTGGCTCTGCAAAGGGCTTTCCTCGGTGCCCTGAGGCCATCGGGAGCCACTTGGCGGTGGTGCCAGGCTGCCCCCGAGGAGTCTGCAGAGGTTTTCCTTACCCCCACCCCCTGCAGTTGCTCTCAGCCATCCCTCCATCTCCCCGTCCGTCTGCCTTTCTCACCCCGTTCTGTGCTGACAAGAGTGGGGCTGAGGCGAGCGAGGGCCTGAGGGACTCCCCGGGAACATCCCCCCCCCACTTTTTTTTCCCCCGAGGCCACAGCTGGACTCGGGGCCGCGCAGCCGAACAAGTGACACAGCCAGGCTCTTCGTAGCAACTGCGACCATCCACGCTGGGCTCTGTGATGCACAGGGGACGTCCCCTGAGCCTGGGAGCCACAGCGAGAACCCAGGCCCTTCCTCTCGGCCACGGCACCTCCGACTTGGACTCTCCTTTCATACTCCGGGAGCTCCTGTCACTTTGCCGCAGGCCCTGAGGCCACCTGGAGCAGAGCTAGGAGACCCACATGCCGGTCCATGCACCTGGGGCAGGTCATGTCCCTCCCCGGGCCTCAGTCTCCCCATCTGGAAAATGGGGGCCCAGATCAGCCCTTTAAAGGCTGCTTAGGGTGGGGGCGGGGTTCACAGAGAGGCCCCCACTCCCCGCAGCAGGGCCTGGACTCTCTAGTTTATGTGCCCGGTGCCTGCTGGAGGCTGTTGGAATCCTGGGTTTGCAGCTAAAAGTTGGGAGAACACGGGGTGATCCTAAAAGGCCTTGCTTCCGAGTTGGGACTTTCCTGTGATCCCCAGACTTGCGTCCTCAGGGGGCGGATTCCTGGCTGGTCCCATGACTCAACCTCCTTTGGATTTGAGAGTTGAAAACAGTCTCCTTTTAAGTTTTTAAAGGATGGTTTAAAATTAAGGTAAACTATACATACCATTAAGTTTACCAGTTTAATCGTTTTTAAGTGTCCAGTTCAGTGGCATTCGGGACATTCACACGGTTGTGCAGCCACCGCCATCCATCTCCAGAACTTTCTCCTCTTTCTGAACTGAAATTGTCCCCCACTAAACCCTAACTCCCCCACCAACCCCCCCCCACACCCCCCTACTCCGCCCTGGCAGCCAGCAGTCTCCTCTCTGTCTCCTGAATCTGACGTCTGGGGGCCTCCAGTCTATGGAATCGCACTCCACTTGTCCTTCCGTGGCTGTTCTCTCACTCAGCATTGTGTCCTCGGGCACGTCCCCGCGGCAGCCGGGGTCAGAGCGCCCTTTAGGCCGGGGGAGAACATGTCCTTGTGTGGCCGGACCCATGTCGATCCACTCGGCCGCTGACCGACATTTCCGCTGCTCCCACCTTTTGGCTGTTGTGAGCAGCGCGGCTATGAACACGGGTGTGCAAATCCTTTCGAGGTTTTTGGTGTGTTTTTAAGGCGGCAGCGAGTTTGGAAAGGCGATGGTGGTCCATTGTCAGGCTAACTGAAAACTTGCCCCTTTCATGCTGTGACGTGGAGAGGAGAAGGCACTTCCTGGGTAGTGTTCGTGCGGGTGGAGCAGTTATGGCCCCTCCTCCACTGGGACGGACGGGGCAGTTTGAACAGGGTCAGCTGCACGTGCTCAGGTGAACTCATTCGAGAGGCCACGGCGCTGGGCCAACAGGGCTCTGGCCATGTGCGTGGGCGACCCCGCCTCTCGGTGCCTCGTGTCCTCCCGTGGAGCCCAGCGCTGCCCATCGGACATCCCCGCAGGTCTGCTCCCTCCCGTCTGGTCCAGGCAGGCTGTTCAGCAAATGGAGGAACCGAGCCCGAGGTGGTGGGCAGGGCACTGAGCAGGACGGTGGGTTTGGGCCCGCATCGCCGGCTGACCCAGCGCAGCAGACAGCACCGGCCAGGGGCTCGGGGCCTGAATTCAGTTTCCAGGTCCACCTTGGGCAGGTCCCTGTGCAGGCCTCAGTGTCCCCGCCGGTGCAGGCCTAGGTCACACAGCAATGCTGAGCCCTCTCGGGAAAGGTGCAAGTGGCGGGGGACTTCTGGGCCCCAGCCCGGCCCTGCAGGTACAGCTTGTGCTGGGAGTGTAGCTCAAGGTCAGGGTCGCTCTGCAGAGACACGGTGGAGCCACGGGCAGAACTGGCCTGCGTGCACGCGCAGGGACACGTGTGCTCACAGCATCCCTTCCCTGGCTCCCCAGTGGAAGGGAGGAAGGGATATTTGGGGCCCTGGGCTCCTCCGTCGTCGGTTTAATTACAGGTTTTCAGCCGCGGGCCGGTGGGCACGCATTGGGAAGGAGGGGGGCAGCTCCGAACCCTGTCATTTTCCAACGTCTGCGGCCTCTTCAAAGGGGGGCATCCAGACATTTTCTCCGCAAGCCGCAGAGTGGACTGTCGTGGCCCCAGCATGAACATAATGACAGATGCATTTTGCAGCAAGCTGGGAGTGAATGGGTCCGACCGGCTTGTCTCCTGTCAGACGAGTCATTATTATTTTTTTTTTTTTGTCATTTGCTGACAGTTTGGGTTTCATGTGTTTCTCTCTTTTTTTTCTCCTTTTCCCCCTGCCTGGAAAAATGGCTAGGTATCTACGAGACCCCAGCGGGGACAGTCCTTTACCATGCTCATTTGGACATCGAGGCCTTCACCATGGACCGGGAAGTGCGCAAAATCAAGCAGGGCCTGGGCTTGAAATTCGCCGAGCTGGTGTACACCGGTGCGTAGTCCCCCCGCTGCCCCTCCCCGCCGGCCCACCCCGCCCACGGCCACAGCCCCAAACGAGCAGGTCAAGTGGGGACAGGGGACGAGGGAGCAAGGAGGGGATGCCAGGCCCTGCCCTGCTCACGGGGTGTCGAGGGAAAGGTGCCGGTCCCCGAGGTGTCTGCTGCCCCCGCCACCTGCAGTCAGTATGACTCCAAGGATGCATCCGGGAGCTGATCTTTATTCAGCAGGTGCCAGTGCCAGGCACTGTGTGGGGACAAGCGCTGTCCCGGGGGTCCCCCTAACTCTCCTAGGAGCAGCCAGCTCCTTTTACAGATGAGGAAACTGAGGCTCAGAGTGGAAGCTGCGTGTACAAAGGTACCCAATAGGAAGTGGCCTCGCTGGGTGTGACCCTAGGCCAGGCTGCTCCTACATTAAGCAAGGGAAAGGCTGCCTCGACCAAGACCTCGACCCCAGGCCCGGGCAGCGCGTGAGCCAGACCTTAACCGAGGAATCACCGGGACCGCCACATGCCCAGCCCGTGCGTGGAATGGGTCGGGGTGACGTGAGCACGCAGTGCGGGCGGGTTCCCACTTCCCAGGTGAGGAGACTGAGTTTCTGTGCCTTACCTGTTGTCACGGGGTTGGGACCCAGGCCTTCTGACCCCACGCTGTATAACGCAGTCCTCAAACCTGGCCCATCACCGGTTTTTGTTCAGCTCATGAGCTAAGGCTAGTGTTTATATGTATAAGTGGTTGGGGAACAGTTTTTAAAATGATGCCCCTCCGTGACACATGGAAATTTCTATAGGGGTGCAGTGACTGTGAGGAGTGTTTGGGTGGGGCCATGCTCCTTTCACAGGTCGTCTCAGTAGGGACCGCATGGCCCACAGAGCCCAGAGGACTGCCCAGCCCTTTCCAAAAACTTTTGGCTGGCAGCCTGCTCTCTGCCCTTCATATCTCCCTGATTAGAGAAATCTCACCAGCCACTGGGGGACAGGCTGCTGCCTGCGGCCAATCTTGACAGGCACAGGGGCCTGGATGTCAGGACTCTGGGGAAAGTTAATATCCTATATAATAAAAGGCTACTATGCAAATCAACCAAGCGGCGGAACAACCGGTCGCTATGATGCTCACTGACCACCAGGGGGCAGACACTCAACACAGGAGCTGCCCCCTGGTGGTCAGTGCGCTCCCACATGAGGAGCACCGCTCAGCCACAAGCCAGCCTCATGGCTGGGAGCGGGTGTAAGCCTTCAGTCAGGCATCCCCCGAGGGCTCCCGGACTGTGAGAAGGTGCAGGCTGGGCTGAGGGACACCCCTCCCCCTCAGTGCACTGGGGCCTCTAGTTAATAGTTAATAACTCCCTGGATAAGCCTCCGTGCTCACCTCACCCCTACTGCACCCAGAGATTTTGATTTTGGGGGAGGGGACCCTCCTAACCACTGTCACTCACCTTGGCATTCCAAGAAGACTCTGTGGTTATTGGCTGGCGGTGTTTCTCCTCCCATTGTTTCCGGCAGCTTTGAAGCCGGGCCCCCTGCCCAGGTACACACAGGTGTTTAGATGCCATTGTCTCCTGCGGACGCCCTTGCTCCCAGGGTTTCAGTGCTGGGAGGCGGGTTTGGGTTAGAGTGGGAGAGCCATTAGGACATGGCAGGCTGCGATGGAGGGGCGCACACCTGGCCCGGCTGCTCCCGTGCAGGGGTGTCTCCGTGAGGGGTGTCTCAGGTGAGGACACTCGTCCGAGGGGTCAGGCTGCTGAGGGGCGGCTGTGGGCCCAGGACAGGTGGCTTCAGAGGCGTAGCTCTCGGCCTCTCCAGCAGATCCCGGGGGAAGGTCAGAGGCTGGGCCGCTAGCAGGGTGGGTCCTGGGGCTCCATGCAGGCACGGGGAGGGGAGCCCTGGGTGTCTGAGGCACGTGGCCCTGGGCTGTGGGCTCATGTCCACCGAGCACCTGGGCTGTATTCTTGCTCGGTCGCCCGCCGAGCGCTCTAAATCCCAAAATGAGTTACAGGATTAGGAGGTTTCAAAGGACGCAGACCTCAGGGTGGAGGCGCAGGGGCTGCGTGAGGGCCCGGAGACGTGTCCCGGGCAGGCATTATTCGTATTCACGTTGCCCAGGAGCCCCGGATGTCCTTGCCCCCCAAAGATGTCAAGATTGGCCTTGGCAGCAGCCTGTACCCCCAACAGCTCAGAGGGGCTGTTTGATTGATTTCTCCCAGAGAGGTTATAGGCCAGGGACCAGCCTGCGCAAGTCACTTGGCCCCCCTGGGCCTCAGTGTCTCCATCTGCAAAGTGGGGTAATGCTTCTGCCTGGAGTGAGGACCAAATGCATGAGTGTTTCCGAAGCATCTAGAGCGGTGCCTGGCACGGCACGCTATTCCCGGGTGTAGGAAGTAACTGCAAAGGCCTGGTGTGACTTCCGGGCAGCGTCAGGAGACAGAGGCCTCGCCTCTGGTTGGGTTATGATCTTGGGTAGGTCTGTCTCCTCCCTGAGCCTCGGTTTCCCCTCCTGTAAATAAAGGGCACCCGGTCTACTAAGCTCCTGTGATAGAGCCCGCTCTGGCGCTTGGCTTCCCCGGGGCCCCTGCAGTCTTGGAGCACAGGCAGGGAAACTGAGGCCAGGGAAGCCTGTTTTCCTCAGCCCCCCTGCTAAAGGCCCTGTTTATCATGACCACTGTCTCCCTCTCCTGCCCCATCCCCAAACCTCCTGGTCTGCCTGCATGACCTCCCTCCAAGAGCAGCCTCCGTCCCGGGAGACCCTGCCCCCACTCTGCAGGTCATCCTGGCAGAACCCCAGCTTCAGGACCCATCTCATTTGGGGGCGTGGCTCGCCTCCTCTCCCCTCACCTCAGTTTCTTCAGCAGTAAAATGGGTGTAATGTAAACTCGCACAGAGGGTTGTCATCCCCGTTAGTACAGTGCTTGGCCCAGGTCTGGGACCTGCAGGGTCTCCTCCATGCAGCACACCAAGCTCACTGCCCCTCCACCCCCGGCTGGGTCTGCTGGGAAAAGAAATCTGAGCTGAAGACCCTTGTGCGATGAAGACCGGAGACCCTGTGATAAAGCCCAGGCCAGGTGCTCCCACAGGGGTTTCCATGCCCATCTCGTCTCCATCTACCGCCCATCTCTCAGCCTGGGAACTTAACGGTCTAATCATCCCGACCTAGTCAGAAAGATGGGGGAGTGGGGCCATTGGGGTCCCCTACCCACATGGGTCTAGAGCAGTGGTTCTCAACCTTCCTAATGCCGCGACCCTTTAATACAGTTCCTCATGTTGTGGCGACCCCCAACCATAACATTATTTTCGTTGATACTTCATCACTGTAATTTTGCTACTGTTATGAATCGTCATGTAAATATCTGATATGCAGGATGTATTTTCATTGTTACAAATTGAACATAATGAAAGCATA